CGCGCGCGAGCGCTGAAGCGCGCGCGCGAAGCCCGGGCGAAGCCGCGCGAAGCGCGCGCGCGCGAAGCCCGCGCGAAGCCCGGGCGAAGCTGCGCGAAGCCGCGCGAAGCCCGCGCGAAGCCGCGCGAAGCCCGTGCGAAGCCGCATGAAGGCGCACGAAGCCTGCGCGAAGCGCGTGCGCGCGCGCGCGCGAAGCCCGCGCGCAAAGCGCGGGAAGCCGCTCGAAGGTGCGCACGCACGCGCAGGTGCGCGCACGAAGCCGGCGCGAGGTTCGCGAAACCGCGTGAAACGCGCCCAGTTGCGTGCGCGAAGCACGCGCGAAGCCACGGGAAGCAGCCCGTGCGAAGCGCGCGAAGCCCGCAAAGCCACGGATCCGCCACACACAGGCGCGATGGCGCGAAGCACGCGAAGCGCGAAGGTCCGCGCGAAGCCGCGAAACCAGCGGGAAGCGCGCGCGTGCGCAGGGGCGCGCACGAAGCCGGCGCGAAACCGCGCGAAACGCGCCCAGTTGCGCGCGCGAAGCACGCGCGAAACCACACGAAGCAACGCGAAGCGCGCGCGCGTGCGTAGGGCGGCGAAGCCGCGCGAAGCGCGCGAAGCGCGCGCAGCGCGCGCAGCGCGCGAAGCGCGCGCGCGCGTAGGTAGGGCACGCCCCAGAAGCGCGCGCGAAGCCGTGCGAAGCCGCGCGTAGCCGCGCGAAGCCGCGCGAAGCGCGCGAAGTGCGGGCGCGCGCGCGCGCGCGTAGGGCGCGCCCCTATAATGGGGGGACCATACTCCATCGTGTGTGGACTGATTCAAGATCGGTTGCGTCCGTACGTGGAAAAGTTTCTTGCCACTGAACCGCAATTCGCCTACATGGCGAATAGGTCGACGGATCAAGCACTTCTCAGAGTCCTTCTGCACTGTGCCGAAGGCCGTGGCATGTGCGAACCTCAGACCTACGATATTAGGCAGGCTCGTCTCTCTGGACCACACTCGAAGTCCTCATCTGCATCCAGGAAGCCTCGTGGAGGTGCCATTCAGCTTTCACTTGATCTTACTCAAGCATTCGACAGACTTGAGTGGCAATTGATTAGTGCTGCCCTCATTGCTGCCTCTGTCCCGACAGACTTATACTCCCTCATCATCCTCTGGCATCGTTCTCTGCACTACCATCTCAAAGTGGCTGATGCCACTGCGGCTGTCCCTGTACAGCGTGGTGTCAGGCAGGGGTGTCGGATAGCTCCGATGTTGTGGGCTATATCTACTGTCCTCATCATGAGGCGTGCTGCTGAGGCCATTGGCTCCTCTTGGGCCCGTGAACATCTCACGGCTTATGCAGATGATTTCCACGCAGGAGAAATCATCCACCGCAGTGAAGATTTGACCAGAGCCCTGTGGAGGTTTGGAGCATTTCTGGATTGTCTTACTACCGCGCATCTTGTTGTGAATTCCCAGAAATCTGCTATCCTTCTCCGACTGTGCAAGGGTCTGGCTCCTGCTTGGAGGCGCAGCCACATCAAAAAGGGTCCTGATGGTCCATATTTAAGTTTCTGCTCGCCCGCAGGCACCCGCTAACAACATTCCACTGAAGCAGGAGCATGTCTATCGTGGTCTGGTTATTTCGTACCATTCGTTGGAGACGGCCTCTGTCTCTCACAGGACACGTGCTGCCTGGGCTGCGTGGACTCGTCTGAGACCAGCCCTACCTCTGCCTCGGCCCCTGCACGTGACCTGAGGCTACGACTTTGGAGAGCCTGCGTTCCACCGACGCTTCTGTATGGCCTACATATTATCCGTCCCACTGCCAGGCATCTTCAACAACTGCAGCAGCTTTCTACACGACATCTGAGAGCGGTTGCTCGCTCTCAGGCTCATTTGACCCACGAGAGCACTGCCTGTCTGCATGCCAGGCTTGGTGTACCCTCTGTTCATGAGCTCCTCCTGCAGGCATTGACCAGCCTGCGATCTCGGATCGAGTGGGCTGTGCAAACTGGCCTTGAACTCTCTGGTACTGTAACGACCTCCAGGCTGAGGTCACAAGCAGGGGGGGCCTCAGCATCGGTAGAGGCACGCGGCTCAGGGCGAGCAGAGGAGAGGCATGGGTCCGGCAATCGCCTCAGTTCCGAGATTAGCAGATCACAGCGTACCAAAGTACCATCGGCTCACTGCGTGACGGAGTATCGCTGTCCTACATGCTCGGCGACCTTCTTGGATCTACGTCTTCTCAGAGTCCATCAGGCCTCGCACCATCAACTCACTGTTGCAAATAGGGCCCTTGGTGTCCCTTTTGATAGCATGGTGCACTCTTGTCAGGGCATGCCCATCTGTGCTCTGTGCCATCGCTCATTTGGACGCTGGTCTATTCTTCAGGACCACATTCGCAAAGGCCGCTGTCCTGCCCTTGATCAGCAACTCTGCACTGTGCCTGAAAATGCTTGTCCAACATTGGCCCATGCTCTTCCCGTCACTGACACCCTCACTGAGTCTGCTCCTTTTCATACCACTTCGGAGGTCCTTGAGCCTCCACCCCCTGGTTCACGTGATGCATCGGCGCTTGCTCCTCAGGCTGCTCCCTTGCTGCCTGTTGCATCTCCACTTCCTGCATTGCATTTGCCAGGGTCTGGATCGTCCTCACAAGCTGCTGATCCTGCATGGCAAAGGCGTGTAGGACAAAAGCTCTGCACCCCTGTTCTTGCTCGCTCGGACGTCCTACGACGTGCAATTGCCTCAGGCTGGCCAAGCCTTCTCAAAGATGCTTCACTACGCGACGAGCTGAGACACCATTGCCCGTGTTGCGGACAGTGGTGTGCTACGGCTGCTGGCATGAAGGTTCACTTAAGGAGTGCACATGCTTGCTGGAATGATTGTCTGGCCCGAGTCGTCGAGCGCACCAAGCTTATGAAACGAATGATCGTCAAACCTTGTATTTACTGCTTAGACCAGGTCTTTGATGTCCAAACTCACTGGAAACGCTGCCACGTTCTTATGATCTGCTGCTTCATAGAGGTATTTGCAAGGAGCCATGACACCAGCTCCCATGGATCCATCTCCTCCTCAGGGCCAACAGCTACAGGGCCCATTGAGTCAGTCAGCTGTGGAACAGGAAAAAGCCATGTTCCAGCATCTCATTTCGGTGTATGCTCCCCCTCAAGGACAGACACCGAAGACGAGCCGTGCTCCATCCACCAAGCGTCCTCGACCGGGTCACCAGAAGGAGGAGACGGAAGATGCATTGATGCCGGCAGCGGGCTCGACAGACGACCCCTTTCGTCAGGGTCAGCTGAACCCACGAGGTCGCCATCCCAAAGGGTGGTCCAAGGGTGGGAGGAGCAAGGGTCTGGGAAAGGGTCGAGGCAAGGGCTTCGGCAAGTCAAACTACAGTGGTCCCTCACAGGAAGGAGGCCCCTGGAGTGCGGAGGTGGATTACTACTCCATCGATCGCGAGTCCATGATGGGTCAAATGGCTCGCATGTTGATCCGCCACGAGAGGCAACTGCAGTCCCTTCAACAAGATCAGAAGCTTCACTTGTTTCTGCGTCCGGCATCTGCAGTTCCGCTGATGGTCAAGGTCGCTCGGACCTGGCGAGAGCTGATGGACGCTGGGAAAGTTCGCTCCTCGCTTCGGGAAACGATGCTTCGCGAGCTGATACAAGAGCTCAAAAGCCGTATTCAGGGGTTCAATGCCAGGCCAGAGATGAAGGAGAAGGCTATGCAGATGAACTGGACAGACAGTCAGGGGGCGTGGAACTATCTCAGATGGAATCCCGAGACCCAGAAGGAGGAGCTGGTTCCACAGGTGGAGAGCCGTACCACCGGGCAGATCCTGGAGGATCTACAGGCAATCGAGAATCTGATCAATGGCACCACGATCAGGCACTTCGGATCAGTTCGCCCCTTTCGCCAGCATTACGAGACAAGCTGGGTCCAATTCACACTCGAGATCGAACTTCGCACCGATGGCGACATTCTCTGGAAGCACTTCAATGCGCTGATAAACTCCTCGGTGCTGCATCTTCTTGCGGCCCGTCTTCGGCGGGACCGACGGATTCCCTCGGGGATCACTCAGTCCCTGCAGCAGTTTCTTTGGGCGAGCCTGCCCCTCAGCCACCTCCCAGGCTGCATCTCATTGGCTGTGATCTCCTTGCTATTCGCCTCCTCAATCCCACTTCCAGCACTTGCTACATGAATAGCCTGCTTCTTGCCCTGCTCTTTGCATTGCATTGCCATGGAGTGTCCACTCAGGCTGATCTTGGCAGATTGCATGGGGTATATGATGCCTTACAACAGCACTCAGGCCGGCTGGATGTTAGCAAGCACATGCATTGGATCATGCTTATCAGTCCGTGGTTGCAACCTTTTCGGCAACACGATGTGGCTGAGTTTGCTCAGCACCTTGTGCGTCGTCTGCGTATTCCTGCTTTTCAGGGATGCTGGCATGCTCGACGTTTTGAGGCTGGACGCTGCTCGATCTTGGACACGGGGCCATGCTCTAGTCCTATTCCTTTGCCGTTGCAGGGTCCTGAATCACTTCAGGCTTGCATTGATAAGTGGCACTCTCAGCACTCCTCAGCACTGCATGCCTTCACGTCTGAGACGTCGACTATTCTCTTACAGCTTATGAGGTTCAATGCTGAGGGAAGGGGCAAGTGGAAGCGCACAGTGAAGAGCTTACACCAGATTCTACATGTACTGGAGGATGTCATGATTCCCATATTTGCGGATGTGGATTCCCTTCAGTGCCTGCATCTGCGGTTCAAGGTCGCCTCCATCATCGTTCACTATGGGGATAGAGCTGACTCTGGACATTATCGCTGCCTGTGCAATAAAAACAACACTGCCCCTATCACTGATGATGCTTCCGCTACCACTGTTTGCACAACTCAGCAGCTTGAGGAGCTTCTGTGAATGCTTATCTTGTATGCCTCGTGCGATGTGTCGGCTGATTGTCTGACAAGGTCTTCATCATTACCCTCACTGATATGCGATGAGCTTTGCACTGACGGCCATTATGGCCTGGTGCTGTAGTTATGCGCTCAATCTGAAGCGCCGATGCTCCACCTGTGAGTATTGCTACGACTCGCGAGGCGGATTCTCTTCTGCTGCGTCTGGAAGAAGATGTAAGTATGTACGTATGTATGTATGTGTATGTATATACATATATATATATGTAAACACGCACATACATGTTTGTGCACAGGTGCGTAGATATGAGATCTTGTTTTTGTGGTATTCAGCTTTCTACACACATGTATGCACACCCCTCCTGCAAGTTTCTGGCCTTATGCACGTCCTTCTGTCGAAGTATCGGCACCGTTATACTTGTCACTATCTCCATCATAACTTCGCCTTTGTTTTTGTACGTCTTTATCTCTACGTCTCTACTTCAAAAGGCATTATCTGCACGGGGATCTATCTTAGTCTTGGTACATCATTTAATCATCCACATATTTAGCTAACCTTCTCACTTTGCTTCTTGCCTTTCGTGCTTCTGTGCCATTTGTGCCATGAGTCCAGATACCTGTTCATGTATCTGCTTGTCTGTCCATGTCTTCATCTCGCTCGCTTGCTAGCTCGCCAAGGCCCTGGCCCTCAGGCCTGCACTTGTCTACTTACCTACCTGCCTTTCTATTCGCCCATCCGTCGGTTCATTCGTCCATCCGTGTATTTCTTCTTCGTTGCACGCATGCATTGACGGTCAGAGGGGGTATGTTCGTATGCATGAATGCATATGTGTATGTAGCCAGCTTATGTGGAAACGTCCTGCTGAACCCCTATCCCGCCGTTCGGAGTCTGCAAGCCCTGGGCCACGTGCACCACACTCTCATCAGATCTCATCAGCCTTGCTTCGCCTGGCTTCGAGGTTGTTTCCACGTTGACGTTTGCCAACTCCAGTTTCGTCGTGCCTTGGTTGAGGATGTGGCATTGGGAGTGGGGCCACACGCAGAGGTGTCTCGAGGCGGCTCTGGTTCTCACGCGAAATTCCGTCGGGTTTTTTGCTGTGGTATGGAAGCTTGGGGTGCGGATGCACTGCTCTCGACCTGCACGGAAGACGAAGGTCATTGTTTAGTTCTGAAGTGGTGAGCCCGAAGAGCGAGATCCCAAACCGTGTTGGAACCCTGAAGCGAAAAGCCGACTCAAAGCCGGGGCTAAAGAAGATTCGACATCCTTTAGAGGCTAGGGAGCTCTTTGGCTCCTGCGGCCGACTTGCCCGGCACCGGTGCTTGAAAGGGGTGGGCGCTTTCGGCTTTGGGTTCATCAGGTTAGAGGCCTGCCTTCAGTGCTCCTTTTTGTCGGGTTTGTCCTTTATGGGTGCAGCAGCTTCTTGGTTGGCTTCGGCCGGGGTATGTAAAGCCGCTGTTTGAGTTTGGTGAGGGTTTGACAGGTTCGGGAATTGCTTTGCACTTTGGCAGTCGTTATAAAGTCTTAGCAGGGCCAGAGCCTCTTCGGGGGCGGGGCTTGAGGCCTGCGCAGCTCCAGGGAGGAATCTCTGCTCCGGAAATGCCGGCTTTGGGAATCGGTGTAAATCGGAAATCTTCTCCCCGCATATGTTGGGGTGTCTTCCTGCCACGGTCCCGAGTGTGTCCACCTGCCAAACTAGTGCTCCCGGTACAGATCATGGGGTGGGCTTGGGAGCTTTAAGGGCATGTGGGGGGTTGAGCTACTTCGAGAGTCCAAGCTTGATGTTTGCCTTTATCGGACTTTTCTTTATACCCAATCCCCAAGACTGCTAAACCTTCAGCCCAACTCAATTCTGAATGAGACGCGCCGCAAGCCTCCAAAATGCTTTTGCTGCCTTCTAGGCATCGCTATGCTTGCCGAATCTTCTGCCGACTATTAGAGTTCTGCGGTAGCCGTGCCTCGGCTGAGAGAGGAAGGGGGTCGCGGGCCCGTGTTTGGGGTTTAGGGTTCGGAGTGAAAGTTGAAAGCTGTGCGGTCCAAGCATGTCCGCTGTAAGTTGCTCTTTTAAGAACAACAGACCAGAGGAACCTCCGTGTGGTCATCTGTGAGGACATCTCACCTGTCTCGTTAAGGGTCCCTTATGGGATTGAGGTGGGTGTAGGTCTAACGTGTCCAACGGTTGGCCCCATTAAGCATCCACTATCAGAGTTCCATCTTTGCAGAAACATACGAGGAGACTTGACGCTTCAGCTCATAGACGAGTTGCTGCTCGACGCCGAGGACACCAGAGAAGGGTGAACGCGGGAGTGATACTGAGGATTTGGGAATCCTGCAATATAACACACCCAAAGCATGCTAATTTCCGCTACACTGCTTAGGCCCGGCCTTGTTGTTTCTGCATAGCTCACATCTGGCATGCCTCGACCTGTCAATTCAAAACTCATGGCTCCTCTGAGGACTTGTGCCGCCACAACTTCGGTCATCACGTCGTGCAGTCCGTGCTTGAGCATGGCCACGAGAGGCACTTTGGTCGAGAATTGTAGCCCCAAGCCTGAAGTCAAGACACAGAGCCTTACCCCAAGAGCTCCACGGATCATATTGGAAACCGACAAAGCCCTATGACACCTTTGACTCCCAGCCTTCAGCCTGTGCCGACGTGGCATTTTCCGAGTGGCAGGCACCGCAAAATCGTCGCCAAAGTTCTCGGGCGGGACCTTCTCGGCTTCGCGAAGCACCGCAATGCCAGCTACCTGGTGGTTCTTGGATCAAGCTGAGAATGACATTTTTTCTTGTCTTTCGCAGGGCTATTTTGGAACATGGCCGTTTAGGATGCTCCAGAAGTTGTGAATTAGTGATTAAGGAAAAGGCCATGTGGTACTGCGCGCCCGAGGCAGGGCCCCCTGCTCGGAGAGCCTAAAGCCAGTGAAGCCAAAGCCGTCCCAAATCTTCACAATTCTGGACAGCTTTGGTGGACCCAGAAGTATCCCTTTCGGCTTGAGGGACTGGAAACATTTTGGTTTAGATTTCGGTGTCAGGGTTTGGGTGAGGGGTGCAAGCTTAGTCGCGATCTGATGCTTGGGATTCTGGTCGAACAGGATCATGATTTACTTGGGAAATGATAAAGTGAGTAGGTGCACACTCTCCGTTTGCAATAGCGTATGCCCAATTACTTACAAGATGTAAGTCCGAAGGCCAAGATTAAACCTTGAGGTACCGGCATGTTCGGTTCAGTAGCCGGTGTAGGCTTTTGACAGTTGGTCGTTAGTGGCGGAGGAGTCAACAATCCAAGAGGACCTGAAGGGTAGCTTAAAAAAGCGGGATGCGAAGCACGATGTCAACTCCCCTATTGGGTCTGAAACCGTAACCGTAAACCGAAACTTTGCCCTCCAGCCTTGCGCCAAAGACTTGAAACGCCCCGAAGCCCTGAAACCGAAATGGGGCGCGGTTTGAGCCCCTCCGCAGCCCTAAGCACACCAAAACTTTGAAACCGAAGTAACGTCTTGATGCAAGCATGTGTGCGGAAGGACCAAGCGTTCTTGCTCAAACAGCTGGCACGCACCGACGTGATCGTTGACCTGGCAAGGCCTCCGTGCGATTTGAGAGGCTTTTTGCTGTTAAGATGTTCTGCGGTTGCGAGGTCTTTAGGGGTCCTGCACATACGAGTACTACCAGGACTAGTACTACTGGTACTACTAGTACCACTAGTACCACTAGTACCACTAGTACCACTAGTACTACTAGTACTACTAGTACTACTACTACTACTACTACTACATCATCATCATCATCATCATCATCTACTACTGCTACTTCTACTGCTACTTCTACTGCTGCTACGACTGCTACTGCTACTGCTGCTGCTCCTGCTACTACTACGGCTACTCGCTACCCTGCCTTCTGATCCCCGAAGCTGGAGATCCGTGCAGGAGCGCTTGCACTCGCTCTTGGTGCAGGCTCCCAGGGCTTTAGGCGGCTTAGGGGGTTATAAGGCGCATTTAGGGCTCGGGGTATAGTGCCATAGTGTTTCCGGTGTATGTTCCAACATTAGTCTTACAAGTTCAAGCGGCCTTTCTGGCCCACCTCAGTGGCCCCTCTACGACAAGCTCTTACTGGGAGGGATACCTTAAGTTTTGAACCAGACAGGAGCTTTGCGAATCTAGTGTGTGCAGTTTGGGATGTGCAGCACACATGTTGCTTGGAGTCTTGTGTGGAAAAAACGAAGCAGCCCTGGATCACGTCCAAAACTGTAAGCCCCGAAAGCCCTGAACCCTAGCCCCTAGACGCCCCAAACCAGAAAGAAGTTGAAGCACATCTGAGTATCATGTTCAGCAGCGTCCGGGGCTTGAGGAATTGGCTCAGGGCCCAGAGCTTTTGGGATTCAGTGTGAACCGACCGGAAGCAACACCCGGAATCTCTTCAATTTGCATTATCGGGTCTGATAGAGTTTGTGTGGGAAAATGGGGAGTCGGGGGTTTTAAACTTTGAGGTTCCGGGTTTTCTTGCTTCTTCTGGCAAGATTCCCGCGCGGACACCATTGCCCTTTTACTTCTGCCTCCAGGCTTTGCGGTCGTTGTGAAGATACCCCGAAACATAGTCAGCAGTGTTGTTGTTGTTCTTCTAGATCTACATGCTGTGCACACATGCAGACAGACAGGCAGGTAGCCAGACAGACAGATAGGCCGACGGACGCACGGACGGACGGACGGATGGACGGACGGACAGACAGACAGACATAAGCTTAGTAACAAGAAAGCAAACAAATATACATACACACAATAAAACAAGCAGATGCGTACATCTTGGTTTGCAGACTTAGAACTACATTACACTTAGAGCGAAGACAGCTGATTACAAGGTAGGTTTCGGTACAATACAGACACACGAGCACACAAACACGTACGTACAAACCAGTGTATACACATGATGGAATTTTACGCATCGTTTCAACATCCACCACAAACGCCCCATGGGATCCTTCTATCTGGCAAAAGTCTACAAGGCCTTAAACCCTAAACCCAAAGCCCAAAAGCCAAAACCCAAACCCTTTTCCCTAAACCCTAAATCTTGAACCCTAAGCCCTAAGCCCAAAAGCCAACACCCCAAACCCTCTACCCTAAACCCTAAATCTGGAACCCTAAGGCCCTAAGCCCCCAAAAGCGCCCGAAAGCCCCGAAAAACCCGGAAGTCGGAGCTTCGAGGCCGACATCGTGCACACCCACAAGCGGCTGAAGGAGCGCATGGCGGGGGCCCCGGGGCTGTTGGGAGCGATGTAACCCTAAACCTTAAACCCGAAACATTAAGATTAGGGTTTAGGGTTCAGGGTTTAGGGTTTAGGGTTCAGGGTTTAGGGTTTAGGGGACTATATGGCACTTGCTGGACCGTCGTCGGTGGGGGCTGTGGAGGGACCTTGGGTTACTCTCGAGAATGAAGTCTCTCTGACCTTGCTCGCACAGTTGGCAGGGTCAAGTGAGTTCACGGAGGACATAGCTCGTCTCTGCGGGTCGGCGGTCTTGAGCATGGTGCAAGCGGCTCGTGCTTGTGCCTTGGGAGATGGAACTGCGGCAGAGACACAGCCCGAAGAGGGTGACAGCTGAGGGTATGCGGATGTTGTGAGGGTTGGGGCGCTGGCGAGGGCGTCCCGAGTCCTACAAGGGGTTTCGTGAAACTTAGTCTTCTTCGTCCCAGGAGCTTTCGTCGGTAGTTTCGGATCTGCAGGCGGTAAAAGGGGTTCGAAAAAGAAGCCTTAAGAGTATAAGGGTTAGGGTTTAGGGTTTAGGGTTACTATGAGGGTTACTCTTACTGACGGGGCTCCATGGTCTTGGCGTGGGGTTCCGGAGGCCATGATGAGGGCCTTGGGTCTGAGGTCGAGCCGTTTGGGGCTTCGGAGAGTTTAGGGCTTCGGGTTTTGGGTTCAGGGTTTAGGGCTTAGGGTTTACGGTAAAGGATTCAGGGTTTAGAGTTTAGGGTTAGGGATGACAAATAATCTCCATGCAGGGTTCGGAAGGCTTGTTAGGAACAGCCGGTGCGTGGGAAGCATCGGAGCTTGTGTTGGCTGCGTGCAAGCGTGTTGCACAACTATCCCGCCAATCGCATGTGTTTGTAACACTGGCATTTGTGTAGAGACACATGCAAGCGTCTTACATGCGGATGCTTTGCATCTGTTTCCACTCATTGAACATGTTGTCATCACGGGTGACACTGCAATTGTCCATGGCAATGAGAACAGTGGTCGCAATCACAGCCATTATCTCCTTTTGAACTCCATGGCAATCTTGCAGAAAAGATGGTATCAATTACGGCCTAGGGTTTCAGTTCAACGTTTACAACTTGGGGTTCAGGGGTTCAGGGTTTCGGTTTAGAGCGTCACAGGGGAGGTGGGGGTTGATAGCCCCTTGCGCTTGTTTCGCGACATCCGAGAACTTGGGAGCCCTTCTACTGCCTACTCTAAACCCTAAACCCTAAACCCTAAACCCTAACCCTACACCCTACACCCCAATCGCCTGAGCTCCCCTAAACCCTAAACACCAAAAACCCTGAGCTTGAAACCCCTCCTTTGGCTTAATATGGGGTCTGAACAGTGCTATCATCGCCTTGTTGACTATATACCAGTACGATAAAAATGCCTAAAGCCTAAGCCTTGGGTAAATTGCGCAGCTCCAAGGTGCAGCTCACTGAGGACCTGGAAGACTACCACCGGGAAGAGTGCGCAGAGCTACCCGAACTGAAGCATGGGGGACGGGTTGAGAATAGTTAAGGGTTCAGGGTTTCGGGACGGGTTGAGGGATTCCGGGTTGCAAGAATTGTCGGGCCTCGGGGATTTTAAGGTTTAGGGTGGTTGGGACTTTCGTGATTTTCGCACCTTGAAGGTTCTAGGGCTTTAAATCTCAAGGCTTAGAGATCAGAGTCTTCCGGTATTCAGCCTCTGGGCGCAGAGGGAGAGGGAGGTAGGGAGGAGGTGCGGGGGAGTTCACGAGAGGCTTTATGGATTCCTGGAGCTGAGGGTCTGGTCCTGCAGGTTTCAACCCAAAATACCAGACCCTATAAGCCTTAGATGAAACATCGCCCCCTGATTGCTTGGTCTTGGCTTTGAGTTGTGACTGCGAGGACAAAGGCAGGGTATCTCTCTACACTCCTGGGTACCTTGCTGAGTGTCCAAAGAATCAAGATCCTACCATGGGGGTTTTGCTGCCAATGAGCCTCGACAGCACCAGAGGCGGAGTTGTTACGGCTTCCTCATATGCGGGCGGCGTTACTCTGTATGTACATGTGTCCTCCTGAAATGATGTGGCGATCCAGGTTTATGGTGGCGTGTGGGCGGCACTAGGAGAACATGGTCTTGCTGGCTGGGCTCGGGTAAGTCTGCCATCGGCAGTCATGTTGCGGCTACCTACACCCGCACTCGCGCGCTGAGCTGCGCTAGGTCGCTAACGAAGGAAAAATGCATGCATAGAGCAGTTGTCAAAGGACAGATATAGCGTTTATGAAGATTACTCTGGCAAAGCCAGTCAACGGTATGGTCAGGCTGTCATTGGGTGTTGTGATACATGTACACTCTATAGTTTGGTATGCGTTCGACCGATGCGATGTGGATATACGTCAAAAACTGACCAGTGGTTCTGAACATGTACTCAGTGTACCCGACCTATTGGAAGGCGGAGCTATCGAAAACTAACTCCTGACTGATTATTGCCCTAGCCCCAAGCCCTAAATCCTAAACTAAACCCTAGACCCCGAATCCTATACCCTAAGCCCGAAATCCTAAACCCTAGACCCTAAGCCCTAACCCTAACTCCAACACCCTATACCCAGAGTCCCAAAAACACCCCGAAACCCTACGCCAGCCTTGCACCCAGGCTGCGCGAGCAGCTCGAAAGCCGTGTGCAGGCTATG